CTTAATTCTCATCCCACCCTTTTTTAGGAAAAATAGAACAAATAAACCAGGCGGCGGAAATATTATATACACTAAAAACAATATTCATGCAGTTCGTGGATCTGATCTGGAATCTCATGTAGAAAATTTGGTATTGGAGTTAAATACTGCTAATAAGAAATTTCTGCTGTGCTGTATTTATAGGTCGGATAATTCTTTATCTGAATACTGGAATCACTTCGATCAATTATTAGATATTCTATCAAATAAAAGCTGTAACTTAATCATTACTGGTGAGATAAATCAAGATATGCTTACCTTGTCTCCTAATTCTCATCTTGTTAGAATGCTGACCAAATATAATTTATATACCATTATAAATTCTGCAACTAGAATAAATACCTGCTACCTGCATCAATGCTTTTGAGGCCGCCCGGTTGTGGAACAGTCTCCCAAATGACTTCCGAAGAGTTGAAAACGTCAAAGAATTCAGGAGGCTGGTCCATTCCTGAGATTGCCCCATCTGCCTTTGCAATATCTGCAAAGAGTGATACTTCATACTGTGCCCTGGTTACCTCTGCCACCTGACATTTTGGATTGTGTAATACTTTCATTTCTTATATGTTTTAATTCTATTCTTTATTTTGCAGTATTCATTCACTATTAACAATGTCTTATTCTGAATACTACTTATCTGTGATCACATTTATTGCTTTTCATATATTAACACTATTTTTATATATTAATTGTTCAAAAAGGGTCATATCCCGGGGGCCTTTGTAGGTAGGGGACTCCCAATCACTTAGAAACCTGGGATATGTATACTTTCTTTTGCTGTGATGATTATTACTGTGTGTTTTTTTATATTAATATATGTGATTATCTCCCTTTTACTTGTTATATAATATGTTATCGTTATTTTACATATGTTTGTCGCAATAATAGCTCTCAAGAGTTAATGCTCCTTGTTTACCTGTATGCGACGTTGAATAAAGTTTGTTGTATCTTGTATCTTGTATCTTGAAATGTTTTTTTATGTTAATAATCATAATATCATTCAAAGCTCTGCAATTCTGTCACCATTGTGTACCAACCATTGTCCTATTGCTATTACTGTATGCTTTAAGACTATTAAAGAAAAATCATTTAAACGTACTATTTATAAATTTAACGAAGCTAACTGGCAGGAAATGAATAACACTCTTTCGTTAACAGACTGGAATACTCTATTTGGTCAGAATGATAATGTTGATTACATTAATATCATAGTTGACAAAATTAATTGTCTAGCTACTAAACATATACCCATCAAAACAATAAGAATCAGACCTAATGACAAGCCATGGATTACCCAAGAAATATGGACAGAGCTAAGTATAAAAAATAGAATAGCAATATCTACTATAATAGAGAAAATGACTGGCTAAAATTCAGAGTCTCACGCAATAATATTATTGATTTGATCAGGCAGGAAACCAATAACTACTTAAATAAATTACAAAATACCTTATCTGACAAATCCATTCCTCATGTTAAATGGTGGCGTAATGCCAAATCCAAAAGCATTTTTTCTAACAAGTCTTCCTCTCATCCTTTAAGTTGGCAACAATATAATAATCCATCCTATAGATAAAGCTGAAGCATTAAATTACTCCTTCTGTTATATTTCTAACCCTACTGCAGATGATGACTCTGAATTTGACTTACCTCCCATTAGTCACCTACAAGTTTCTGAGATCACTATAAGTGATCAAGTAAAGTCAATAAACCTGCTAGATCTGACAATGTTTCCCCAAAAATAATTAAAAGTCTTCTGCCTTCTTTAGAAACATCTCTAAAAATACAGTTTCAGAAAACTATCATATCTGGTGAGATTTCATAGTCTTGGAAATCCTCCAATGGTACTGCTTTGATCCTAGTAACTACAGACCTATTGCTATCACTTCCTGTGTAAGTAAAATTTTAGAAAACATAGTTTTTAATTTTTTAACAAAGCACCATATCAATAGTGAAAACCAGTCTGGGTTTAGTAAAGTAAAGATATAAGATTAATTTTCTGTGATGTTAGTAAAGCATTCGATAGGGTATGGCATTTCAACAAATTTTATTCATGATGTTGTATGAATTGGGTCGAACAACAGGCTATGCCTATATCAGTTCTCTCCTGCATGCATTTGTATCAATCGGCATATAAATATATTATAATTTTTAGTGAAATGAAAAATTAAAAAAAGACAACTTATATACAAAACAGATATCAATGTGCAAGTCATTTGGTAAAAAGGCGATAACTCAAACTGCTTATGAAAGTTCACAAGTCAAGCTGTGCTACTTCTTGACCTCACCAGAGTAATGAGTGAGTTTTAGACATATTCCTTCACTAGATCCTCCCTGGGAGTTAAAAATGCACACAGAGTGACTCAAAGATAGTTGAATATTAGGCTTATATGCATTGAATTTTATGAATAAGCTATGTCAATATTGTATGATATATTGATATTCACATTATAATATGTTAAGAATATAATTATACAATTACTTATTAATTTCAAAATACAAGTCCCTGTTGATGTATGGGATGAGTATATCATATTTACGCTGTGTTTGTAGTAAGTGCTTAATGATACTGACAACCATAAGCTTGTTTGATGTTCATGTTTACAATATTAGCACATTATAATATAAGTTGATATAGATAATTCTAGTTATATAAATCTTTTGAGTTCACGATAAAGGTTGAGACACTCTCTAGGATATTTTTATTAGTTTCATTGTCACATTGGTTACAACCATTTAGTTAAGTATGTAGAGTATAGTGCGTGTGATTATCATTGAATAGAGTAGCTGAGAGTAATTATCTGTGATTGTTGTATCTGGCACAGTCAAAGAAGTAATGATAACTTGTTTTCTGTATATAACCAGACACACATGAAGCAGATTCTAATAGATGGTCATTAAAGAGATCAAAGTTTAAGTTGCTAGCATTATTTCTAACTTAACATAGTATAATATTGATTTTTCTATCAACAATTTTTTTTACCACTGTCTGAGTATCATTAGTTGGTATACTATTAGTTAAGTTAATTAGTTTCTTGAACTGGGGAAGAGATTGAGCATTTAAATTATCTGGGTCTAACTGATTTTAAAGCCGAAAGGTTGAGGGAAAGAAACTTTTAAAGTAGCTCTCAGTTCTACATACCGGGGTTTAAATGCTCTATTTAGTCTAAGCTGATACCTCACATTTGTTAAATCAGTTAAAAAAGGATCAACTACATGTATATCATTAAGGTACTTTGGTGATGTATTATGCAATATTGTATACATTAGAATTCATTATGTTTTTCCCTCCTATCAGCTAAGGTTACCCATCCCAATTATATGTACAATTTTTGGTGTGATGTACCTCTACGAATCATAAAGGACTTCTATATAATCTTAAAAGATATGGTGTTTCTGGCAATCTCTTTAAATGGTTTGAAAGTTAATTTATCTGACAGGAAACAACGTGTTATTTTTAAAGGTTATGCTTCTAATTTTAAATCAATTTCTGCTGGTGTCCCACTTGGTTCTGCTCTTGGTCCCTTTTTATTTATTTCATTCATTAATGATGCTACTCTTGAAATTAACACCAATGTAAACCTTTCTGCTGATGATACGTCTCTTTATGTAATTGTTAACAAAGATGTGACTTATCCAGCTGAAGAACTTAACGACGGTCTTGAATCCATTAAGAATTGGGCTAAATATTGGAAAATTAGTTTCCATCCCCAAAACAATATTGCATTAACTGTAACGAGGATAAAATACATGTTTAGCCAATCTCCCACATGGCCCTCTAATGTCTTGGAAAATGAATGGTTAACTATTCGTTTTGGTTTGTATAAATAAGTGGCAAGCGGATGTCACATCTGAGTCTTTGTTTCCCATTTGCGATAGGAGATCGTCAAACCTTAGCCATTGCTGTAGTTATTGAATGGCAGTTTGATAGCATATAAGTATATGCCTGGGTTCTGTCTCTGAATACTTATGGGATGCGGGGTCAGCTAAGGCGTTTCCTTAGCTGAAACCCAGCTATGCTACAATCAAATTATCTCAATTATCTTCCATGTTTAAGAAGGTCCTTAGATTCTTTATCAAAAATTCAAATTTCATTTACTCAAGGCAATTTCACTTTCAGGTATGTTTTATAAATTTGTAGGAAAGCATGCGCATTATCGTTGAATTGCATTTTAATGGTATGAACATTAATACTCTGGGCCCCATTCCTATGTGATGGTGACGGGGTCAAAAGGGGGAAATATTTATACTCTTCTTTGCTGAAAATGGATGATGGCTAAATGTGTTTTATCTCACTTAGCTGCATAGACTCAAAAAATGTCGTACGTAATGATAACCAGGGCCCATATTAAAAAACGTTATCGCGCTCAAGCATGGATTCTATGCTCAAACCTTATTTTTTGTAACTGGCTTAAAATCATGTCATATGGTTAAAAAGCCAAGTTAAATTATCGAATATGTTGTTCGGGCCTCCAAATTCTGAAATTCATAGGTGACCAATCTAGTAATCTTTGAAATAAACGTGTGACATTGTTCGTTTTGTAACTTGAACTATAGACACAATATGGATGGATTATTCTGTATACGACTGTGCCTGTACCCTGGGCCATGCATTAAGATGAAGTATACCGTATTTACATCAGTCATTAACATAAGCGCCCGAAGCAATTTGGTAGTGTCGGTCTCCAAATCACAAATGACTTCGGGTTACAATGCCATTTGACGAAAACTGTCTTTGAGCGAAAAGTGTTCATTAAAATAGATAAAAATGTTGCTAATTCACAATTTAAAAGTATAGCTAAACATCAAAGATATTTATTGCAAAATGTAAATCGTTAATTACCATTTGTTATGTGCGAAACAAATATGGCGTGGCAAACAGGGTGATACACGTGTAACTCAATCATTTGCTGTTCGGTACGAGGCTCTTGGCGTAACTGGCGGTTTAAATGTCATTACTATAAAACCTGTTTGTTAATATCTCGCCTGTCTAATACCGGACGTAACTAGGATGCTGTGAAATATCCTGCCATCTTCATACAGTTCATGATAACCACGAATATGTCTCGGTTGATGGTGATTTTAGTCCTTGGACTGGTGGCTAGTGTTATTGTCGCCAGGAATGGTAAATACCATCATTACTCAAGACAACTCAACTGGGCAAGGCTTGCAGGTTTTTATTAGTGCAAAATGCATCTATGTTAACTGGGCAAGGTTTTTCATGTTTTTATAAGTGACAAACGTATATAAGTTAATTTGGCAGGGCTTGCATGTTTCAATATAAGTGACAAATGTATCTATATTAACTAGACAATGCGTGCAGGTTTGTATAAGTGAAAAACGTTAATATGTTCAGTGGACAAGGCATGCAGGATTTTATAAGTGAAAAACGTAAATATGTTCACTGGACAAGACGTGCAGGATTTTATAAGTGAAAAACGTAAATATGTTCACTGGACAAGACGTGCAGGATTTTATAAGTGAAAAACGTAAATATGTTCACTGGACAAGGCGTGCGGGTTTTTATAAGTACCAATTATATCACGGTATACTGGGCAAGGCGTGCGGGTTTTTATAAGTACCAATTATATCTCTGTATACTGGACAAGGCGTGCGGGTTTGTATAAGTACCAATTATATCTCTGTATACTGGTCAAGGCGTGCGGGTTTTTATAAGTACCAATTATATCTCTGTATACTAGGCAAGGCGTGCGGGTTTTTATACGTACCAATTATATCTCTGTATACTGTGCAAGGCGTGCAGGATTTTATAAGTGTCAATTATATCTCTGTATACTGGGCCAGGCGTGCGGGGTTTTATAAGTACCAATTATATCTCAGTATACTGGACAAGGCGTGCGGGTTTGTATAAGTTCCAATTATATCTCTGTATACTGGGCCAGGCGTGCGGGGTTTTATAAGTACCAATTATTAATCTGTATACTGGGCAAGGCGTGCAGGATTTTATAAAGTACCAATTATATCTCTGTATTCTGGGCAGGGCGTGCGGGTTTTTATAAGTACCAATTATTAATCTGTATACTGGGCAAGGCGTGCAGGATTTTATAAAGTACCAATTATATCTCTGTATACTGTGCAAGGCGTGCAGGATTTTATAAAGTACCAATTATATCTCTGTATGTATACTGGACAAGGCGTGCGGGGTTGTATAAGTACCAATTATATCTCTGTATACTAGGCAAGGCGTGCGGGTTTTTATACGTACCAATTATATCTCTGTATACTCGGCAAGGCGTGTGGGGTTTTATAAGAGGTTTGTATAAGTGAAAAACGTTAATATGTTCGGTGGACAAGGCATGCAGGATTTTATGAGTGAAAAACGTAAATATGTTCACTGGACAAGGCGTGCGGGTTTTTATAAGGACCAATTATATCTCTGTATACTGGTCAAGGCGTGCGGGGTTTTATAAGTACCAATTATTAATCTGTATACTGGGCAAGGCGTGCGGGTTTGTATAAGGACCAATTATATCTCTGTATACTGGGCCAGGCGTGCGGGGTTTTATAAGTACCAATTATATCTCTGTATCCTGGGCAAGGCGTGTGGGGTTTTCTTGCAGGTTTTTATAAGTGAAACACGTATCTATGTTAACTGGGCAAAGCGTGCGTGTTGTTATAAGTGACAATTATATCTATGTTAACTGGGCAAGGCGTGCGGGTTTTTATACGTACCAATTATATCTCTGTATACTGGTCAAGGCGTGCGGGGTTTTATAAGTGACAATTATATCTCTGTATACTGGACAAGGCGTGCGGGTTTTTATAAGGACCAATTATATCTCTGTATACTGTGCAAGGCGTGCAGGATTTTATAAGTTACAATTATATCTCTGTATACTGGGCAAGGCGGGCGGGTTTTTAGAAGTACCAATTATATCTCTGTATTAAGTGACAATTATATCTCTGTATACTGGACCAGGCGTGCAGGATTTTATAAGTGACAATTATATCTCTGTATACTGGACGAGGCGTGTGGGGTTTTATAAGTACTGTATAAGTACCAATTATATCTCTGTATTAAGTGACAATTATATCTCTGTATACTGGGCCAGGCGTGCGGGGTTTTATAAGTACCAATTATATCTCTTTATACTGGACAAGGCGTGCGGGTTTTTATAAGTCCCAATTATATCTCTGTATTCTGGGCAGGGCGTGCGGGTTTTTATAAGTACGAATTATATCTCTGTATACTGGGCAAGGCGGGCGGGTTTTTAGAAGTACCAATTATATCTCTGTATCCTGGGCAAGGCGTGTGGGGTTTTATAAGTACCAATCATATCTCTGTATACTGGGCAAGGGGTGCGGGTTTTTATAAGTACCAATTATTAATCTGTATACTGGGCAAGGCGTGCAGGATTTTATAAAGTACCAATTATATCTCTGTATGTATACTGGACAAGGCGTGCGGGTTTGTATAAGTTCCAATTATATCTCTGTATACTGGTCAAGGCGTGCGGGTTTTTATAAGGACCAATTATATCTCTGTATACTGGACGAGGCGTGCGGGTTTTTATAAGTACCAATTATATTTCTGTATACTGGGCAAGGCGTGCGCCTTTTTTATAAGTACCAATTATATCTCTGTATACTGGGCAAGGCGTGCGGGTTTTTATAAGTACCAATTATATCTCTGTATACTGGGCAAGGCGTGTGGGGTTTTATAAGTACCAATTATATCTCTGTATACTGGGCAAGGCGTGCAGGATTTTATAAGTGACAATTATATCTCTGTATTCTGGGCAAGGCGTGCGGGTTTTTATATGGGACAATGAATATATGCTAACTGGATAATGCTTGCAGGTTTTTATAAGTGAAACACGTATCAATGTTAACTGGGCTTATCGCTAGGCGTGCGGGTTTTATAAGTGACAATTATATCTATGTTAACTGGGCAAGGCGTGCGGGTTTTTATAAATGACAATTATATTTATGTTAACTGGCCAAGGAGTGCAGGGTTTTATAAGTAACACTACTATATGTTAACTGGGCAAGACTAGCAGGTTTTTAAATTTGACAAGCGTATATATGTTCACTGGTCAAAGCTTGTGACAATTATACCTATGTTCCCTGGGCAAGCTTGCATGGTTTTTATAAGTGACAAACGTTTATATGTTATCGGGCAAGCGTGCAGGTTTATATTAGTGACAAATGTGTATATGTTAATTGGGCAAGGCTTGCAGGGTTTTTTAAGTAACATATGTATATATGTTTCTATGCCAACAAGGCATAAACGAATACAACAATATAAATAAACAAACAAACAAAAATAATCAAGCTGAACTCCTGCCTATAAACAGTGCTGAAAGCCATATCTCCAGTTCATACTATTTTTCTTGTACCAGTAAGTTTTCTGTATTTTCCTCTTAGTCGAGTCAGAAAAGGAGAAGAAGGTTGATGACGTCAAGGAAGAGGACGGGCAGGAGGAAAAGAAGACAATGAATAAGCGGGAGGCAAATGACCTTCTGGAGCAGCAGTGGAAAGAATTAATGAATCAACAAAAGTTTGATAAAACTATGAAGTAAGACAGCAAAACAAGTTTTATCATATGCATTGATACAACTTTAATTATTTATTGTTCTTTACATTATCGTAACTTTTAGACATCTAAACTGGTAATTAATGTTATCAGAAGGAGCCTTAAAATGTTCAGTTTGTCTGTCTATACATGTATACTACACATTGCCTAAAACCCGTTTCTATTCCTTTAACCACCTCTTTTTATTCTGAACTGTCTTCTTGCTCATGCTTCAAACATCTTAGTACAACCCTTCTTTATATTACTTCCCTTTATCTATTCCGTCTTTGCGTATTGCAGAGTTATCTTCTCTTGGGAGCAGGTATTTATTGTTACGTCAATGGTTTGTGTGAGAAAATTCCGTCGTTTTCTCAAAAATTGATGACGTTACTCTCACAAACAAGTGACGTAACAATCAATACCTGCTCCCAAGAGAAGATTACTCTGCAATACGCAAAGACGGGATAGATGTTATCTAACATAACTGGATTTCATTACTATATAAGCAATCCTTATTCTGGTTTAAATTGCCATTGAAGTCATGCTTGCTTATTGTATAATTATCTAATAGCACTTTATTCTAGTACTATATATACAATAACAATTAATGTGAGTTTTTTTGTGTTATAAAATGGTGTGATGGAAACACATTATGTTATAGGTTTAAGAATCTTCGTGCTACTGCCGAAGACTCTAACTAATTGTGGGAAACTGTTTTTTTCCGGCATGCCTATAGATTTGATAAATACTTTTTGAAAAGAAAACCGATACCTTACGAGACAGCATTGTGATTTTTTCATATTTCAATCGGTTAGAGCGATAGTATAACAGTCTGAACTCCTCTAAAAACGATATTGTTGCTTATAGTGTGTCTTTCATCTTTATTATTTTTCATAAAAGCTCTCAAAGATAAGCTTTTCTTTTCAGGAATGATTTATCAAAGCTATAGTATTGCCGGGAAAAACCCATTTTCCAACACTTAAATAGTTACAATATTTGGCAGTGGTACAGGGATTCTTAAAGAACACAGAACCACAAAATATTAGTATTAATTAGTATTATATACATCAATAAACCGCTAACTCCAACGATAAAAGTATCATTTAGGAAGTGCGCTCAGGTAGACCATGTGTGATATAAAGCTTCAATACAGTTTGCACTAAAAAACGATAAATCAATTAACAAGTGAACATTTCAAAATAAATTCATTACCGATGATTTTAAAAACAACATGGTCGCCCAGTTTGCAAAGTGATGAAAGACTGTGTAGGCAACGATTCCTCTTTAGCTGTATCGGAACACTGAAGACTTCGATTCGATTCATGTGACCTTAACTCATTTCCCCCTGAAAATACATTTGAACTCTTCCAGTTCAAAGATTGTGATAGAGTATTATGGAATCTCGGGGGTAAATGAGTTAAGGTCACATTAACTCATTTAACCCCTGAAAACACATCTGCACTCACCAAATTCAAAGGTTGTAATAGTTCATTATAAAATTTCAGGGGTGAATGAGTAAAGAGTCACAAATCAGTAATGAGTCTGCGTGGTATATGAATGTTACTCCATACGGCGTACTTTCAGTGGAGCTTTGCCAATACACATGTATTGATGGAGAGAGCATGACAGAGACTAACATTAATCTGCTGCCCCTATTGATTCTTTTCGTTTCCTGTCTTGCCTGCTTCCTTCCTTTCTATCTTCATTCTCTTTCTCCCGGGCTACCGTCCCCGTGTGACGGCTTTTAATACCAAACTAACAAACAAGTTTGAAGATGATCGTTTGGTGGAACAACTGAAATAGCGGTGGCTTGATTTACAAAGATCGATCGTATGACGACAAAAATGCACCTATAATGACAAATGTTCGTAACCGCAGGTCGATGGTATTTCTCCGGGCATTCCGGTTTTCCTCGCACCACCAAAACCTTGCACGTCCTTAAAAGACCATAATTGTTAATAGGACGTAAAACACAATTGAACCAACTAACCTGAAGGGGAGAAATAGCGAAATGTTCACTTTGTTCGGCTTTCCACGCTGACATATCGATTTTTTTAAATTTTAATTTTTATATCTGAGGATTATAATTATGGTTATGGTGTTTCACGAAAATAGCAAATGACATCACTGAACGAGAAAGAACGATCCTCAACTTGGGATTTGGCGAAATATTCTTGTCAGAAGAAAATATGAAATTCAGATACACGCATGAGCTTTAAGTACATTTTTAAATAACATCATGGACATTCAACTTATTTTCATTTAATCAGGGAACGGAAAAAGGAGGCTGTTGCTGAATACTTTGCTGAGAAAAAAAAGAAGTTTGAAAACGAATTCCAAACCTTTGAGAAGATCTGTACTTGCCACACCTTTAAGAAGAACGGAGTTAGTGAGGAGAAGTGTTCTCCTGAAGGCTGTAAGGTTGGAGAGGAACTATCAAAAGCTACAACCGAAGGCTATGCGGCATAATTACCCTACCCTCCTCCGACTGGCAAAATGGCTCGGCATCACAGCGAAGTTGTTCAGATAAGCGTTACCAACTTTATGTTGGTGATGATGTTTGTACAGCATTCACAATCATGATATTAATTATTTTTATTACAAAGCATTTTCATTGTTTTCTGAATAATTCTAAATTCTAAATTTAACTGATGTTATAACTTAAACTACACAACTCTATTCTGTATTTGTGTGCTAATAACTTCATTTCTGTTAACAACCTACTTTCGTGATCTATTTCCGGTTCAAGCGGTGTGTTGGTGAAAATTGGCAAACTCAAAGGTTATTATTAAATTTTTCGAAATTCATTTTCGCAATATATCCTTTTTAATTTGCAACAAAACTGAACTGATGTACGGCATGATTACCAAGTTATTAGTCGGCTGAAAGTGATGTCGAAAGGAAATATCTAAATTAATATACCTTTACTGTAAAATGGAACATTTTCTTACACGTTTTATTTTCGCCCTTCTCCCTCTTGAATGATATGTTGAAAAGCACGAGTGTCTATTTCATACGAAATTTATCAAACGATTGAATATCTTTTTCATCACATGATCAAGAATTTCTGCGAATATTGCGAAAACTCTTCATTTCATATCTTTTATTTTATGTGACGTCATAATATAATCTTGAAGTCTAAAACACCATTTTTAGTATCATTTGGTGACGTCACAAAATATCATATAATATAAGTTTAAAATATGCAAAAAAAGACATTTTTTAACGAGAATTATAATAACATGATTTATAAATTTAGTTTTTTGTTATCATTACCAGTATATACATGGGAAGGAGTTCTATACAGGGCGATATTAAAAAACTATAGGGCGAAAATCTTGACAGATTGAAAATATTTCAAATTACAGCTTACAGTAAGCAATGAAAAATGTACTCTTCAGAATCATGAACATTTAAGAGGTGAACTCGGGCTGCCTGTGAACACATTTGAGTATGCTATAGTATAATTCAGAGCAGTTCAGACACCCCTCTCACAAGACCAGGACACGATGAAGCAATTACAATAAACAGATATAGCACTGTATTTCTGCGTTGTCGTTGTTTTCTAATCGGAGCTGACAGCTACCCACAATGCACCGTTTAACCGCTGGTTAGAAATTCGAGGAACCTAAGGAATGCTATCGCTACACGCTTACTTCAATGTCTGTAAGATACATGTAGCCTGGTATTCATACTTCGTTATGGCGTAGGAAGTGTATAAGACAACTTATCGCCTGGTACAATATAGATTTACATCAGTACGGAGTTTAAAGCGCATTGATTTTGCCATGTGAAGGAAATATGCCTCCTTGATAAGCAATGCTTTGTTGTAAGAGAGTTTGTTATAAGAGTACATCCTTAAGAGATATGCAGTGAGCAGCAAGTTTGTAGTAGGCGTGTTTTTTATAGCTATACTTATACAATTGCATCTGAATCCTTATTGTAGTTATTATGCCCTCCAAAGCGTTCAGCATTTTTGGAAATTACAACAAGTGGTTGACCCGTTCTCAGTATAATGTAACCGGTTAAAATACGATGCAGTGGCCGAATTGGGCGAGGGTTTAGGATTTGCGGTTTTGGGTGTGGGGGTTCTGAATAAAATCTTCTATCAGGTTCTATTGAATGTAATCTTTTATCAGGACCTACTGAATGAATTCTTTTATCCGGATCAACTGAATGTAATCTCCTACCAGACCTACTGAATGTAATCACCTATCCGGACCTACTGAATGAAATCTCCTATCCGGACCTACTGAATGTAGTCTTTTATCCGGACCTACTGAATGTAATTTCCTATACGGACCTATTGAATGTAATCTTCTATCCGGGCCTATTGAATGTAATCTCCTATCCGGAACTACTGAATGTAGTCTTTTATCCGGACCTACTGAATGTAGTCTTTTATCCGGACCTACTAAATGTAATTTCCTATCCGGACCTAGTGAATGTAATCTTTGATCCGGACATACTGAATGTAACCTCCTATCCGGACCTTCTGAATGTAATCTCCTATCCGGACCTACTGAATGTAATCTCCTATCTGGACCTAGTGAATGTAATCTTCTATCCAGACCTACCGAATATAATCTCCTATCCGGACCTACTGAATGTAATCTTCTATCCAGACCTACAAAATGTACCGAATGTAATCTCCTATCCAGATCTACCGAATTTAATCTCCTATCCGGACCTACTGAATGTAATCTATCCAGACCTACTGAATGAAATCTCCTATCCGGACCTAGTGAATGTAATCTTCTATCCAGACCTACCGAATGTAATCTCCTACCGGACCTACTGAATGTAATCTATCCAGACCTACTGAATGAAATCTCCTATCCGGACCTACTGAATGTAATCTCCTATCCGGACCTATTGAATGTAATCTTCTATCCGGACCTACTGAATTTACTCTCTTATCCGGACCTACTGACTGTAATCACATATCTGGTCCTACCGAACGTAATCTCCTATCCGGACCTACATGTACTTAATAGTATCTCCTATCCAGACCTACTGCATAAAAACTTCTATCCGGACCTACTGAATGTTATCTCCTATCCGGACCTACTGAATGAAATCTCCTATCCGGACACACTGAATGTAATCTCCTATCCGGACCTACTGAATGTAATATTTTATCCGGACCTTCTGAATGTTATCTCCTAAACAGACCTTCTGAAAATAATGTTTTATCCGGATCTACTGAATTTTATATCTTTTCCAGATCTACTGAATTTTAATTCCTATCTGGACCTACTGAATGCTATATTTATTCTGATCTACTGAATGTCATCTCCTATACAGATCCACTGAATTTAATTTTCTATCCGGATCTTCTGATTGTTATCATCTATCCGGATCTATTGAATGTAATCTCCTATACGGATCTAATGAATTTAATTTACTATCCGGATTTACTGCTTGTTATCACATATCCGGATCTACTGAATGTAATCTCCTATCCAGACCTACTGAATAAAAACTTCTATCCAGACCTACTGAGTGTTATCTCCTATCCAGACCTACCGAATGTAATCTCTTACCGGACCTACTGAATGTAATCTTCTATCCGGACCTACTGAATGTAATCTCCTACCGGACCTACTGAATGTAATCTCATATCCGGACCAACATGTAATTAATAGTATCTCCTATCCAGACCTACCGAATGTAATCTCTTACCCGACCTACTGAATGTAATCTTCTATCTAGACCTACCGAATGTAATCTCCTACCGGACGTACTGAATGTAATCTTCTATCCAGACCTACTGAATGTTATCTCCTATCCGGACGTACTGACTGTAATCTCCTATCCGGACCTACTTAATGTAATCTTCTATCCGGACCTACTGAATGTAATCTCCTACCGGACCTACTGAATGTAATCTCCTAATCAGTCCTACCGAATGTAATCTCCTATCCGGACCTACTGAATGTAATCTTCTATCCGGACTTACTGAATGTAATCTCCTACTGGACATACTGAATGTAATCTCCTAATCAGACCTACCGAATGTAATCTCCTATCCAGACCTACTGAATAAAAACTTCTATCCGGACCTACTGAATGTTATCTCCTATCCGGACCTACTGAATGAAATTTCCTATCCGGACCTTCTGAAAATAATGTTTTATCCGGATCTACTGAATGTTATTTCTTTTCCAGATCTACTGAATTGAAATTCCTATCTGGACCTACTGAATGCTATATTTATCCGGATCTACTGAATGTAATCTCCTATACAGATCCACTGAATTTAATTTTCTATCCGGATCTTCTGATTGTTATCACCTATCCGGATCTATTGAATGTAATCACCTATACGGATCTACTGGATTTAATTTACTATCCGGATCTTCTGCTTGTTATCACCTATCCGGATCTACTGAATTTCATCTCTTATCCACATCTACTGAAAATAATTTACTATCCCGACCTACTGAATGTAATGTCGGAGTGTCAGTGAGTGTGTCCCCTGGAGTATCGAGGATGGCTTATGTGGTACATGTATACATTATATATACAACAAGTGCTAATAACCGTAAAAAAGCAAAGTCATTATATATTATTATCACTCTGACAAATCAAATGTATATACAGGTAGATTTTGTCAGATATGAAACGTGCCATGCATAATAGGTTTTCGTGAATCATTTCCATGAAGATGTAAGCATATAAAAGCACTGGTGCCCACTTCAATGTACCACTGGACCACAACCGATAAGCATTAATTTTTGTTTGGAGAAATAAAGTTTACGGTTAGGCCATTATGAAATGGGGTTTCGTTTTTAGTATCAATCGGTATGTACACAGTAAAATGAGGTGGTGAAGTTAGAGAAGGAGCGAAATATGGTAGTTTGTTTGGGTGATTACAGAAATACTGGAGCTCAGAACAACTAAGTGTATTCCATTTGTTAAAAAACATTGTGTAACCCACATTTTAAACGTGAGTCACTGCTGCGTAGTTGACCAAAAACAGACGTTTTCAAATTTTTTCGACACAATTAAAAATATTATTTTGCGCCTGTATCAATTTTTCTCATAGGTTCCAGTACATAACATTGGACACATACAAGCATTAAACCATTGATCAGTTAAAGGAATATGGCCGGGAAGTGATGCAGGTAGACTGACAGAGTCAAGCCAACTCACAGTACTGCAGGTTGTCCTCGGGGGAAATTCAAAGAGACTGGATTCGTCCAGTGTTTCCCAAACAACCTCTTTTTTGTCAAGTCGTTCATTCTCTATTTTTTTCTGCGATATATTAGGGCTACTGGCAAGAGTCATCACTCTCTCAGCAATAATACCATCGTTTTTGAGAGTCAGAGGTAAGTGGGGGTCGGAATGCGTTACATAGCGCGCAGACGATTTGAACAAAATCACCAATAAATGGAATTTGGCATTACCTAAGTCTTTCTAACGCTTTATGCATTTGCTGATTTAACCACCCACCTCACTTTTGTCACTGGCCTAGACTAATTTGCTTCTTGATCAGAACGTTTCTTCTGTCCTTTGGGAAGAAAATAGAGCATTTCCCTTTTCCGGAAACCAATCTGCAATGTCTTCTTTGTTTGTTTGATATGCGTTTTATAATGTTAGCATAATTATCATGTCCATCAGCTAAATATGGTCCCAGAACCGACAGAATGTAGCCATCTGTAGCAACAAGCATCATAGGGTTCAGAAGAGGGCTCCATTTGTGCATTTAAAAGGAACGTGTTGAAACGAATAGGTTCCACTTTTTTCAATGTAAATATATGAAACATGCAAAAGCAGCTGCAGAATCAATGCTTCGGGCAAATTACACAAATTTGGTTATGTGCATGTCAATATCAGTCTCTCTACTGATATGCTGTAGGCGGAGGAAGGACTTCCGAACAGAGTGGATGAACTTCCTGCATACCCATTTAGTCATACCAAAAAGAGATGTCAATTCTAATAATAAACGACTCGTGCGAAGATTCACTAACGAAGTAGCTATTACAGTTCGAGCACTACGGCCTGGCCAAGATTTGGAACCCTCTGATACATGTACAGGTCGTTAAATTGTGTCCTATCGAGATCAGTTAAATGATGATAGTCTTGATCTGACAGACCCTCCGGTGAATAAAATCTAAACCTTTTGTCTTGATGCAGCAGTGCGTAATTCTCTAACTAGGTCTGTTATCTCGCTGGAATTCATTTCCACATAGCGCTGGGCCGGGATAATGATTTACAGTGCATCTTGTATGCACGCACCATTTGTGTGATGAACAACTCCGTGAACCAGCTTGTATTAGAAGACCTGTCCTCGCGAGCAGTGCAGTGCGCAGTTTTGGAGAGAGTCTCATAAACTTTCCTTTTACATAAATCCTTATTGTTCTCCAGATAAAGCAGTGATTTCTGATAAAAATGAAGTTTAATTTTCTGGCTTGTGATCTGCTAAGCGCTGTAATATCTACCTCTGCATTATTTGCAGTCTCTACCCCAAGATACCAGTAAGACTTTGATTATGCCGCCTAAAATTTTCTTGTGGTAGTCCGGGATACCTGTCAAGTG